TCTGTCAAGACTGATAAACTTAGGTCAACTTCGGGTTACCTTTTTCAGAAGTTGTGTTAGATTAAAAGTTTTTGAAATCGTTTCAGTTTTGCAAGKAAGAATCCGCCAACTCAAACTTGATGAAAACTGCTCCATCGACGATATAGTTCTCTGTTTTTAATGTTTCATGAGACACATATTTTGGATATCCGTATCCAGGGTTTTCATCGGTTGTTGGTCTTTGAAAGTATTCAGCAGGACTTGTATCAGGATTTCCGTAACCATAGTCGATGTTTAGGCACATCGAGTGGTCTGGTTTCTGGTCAAGCAGGGTAAACTTGTATTTCCAGTTAAATGGCCAGGTCAATATTGCATCGTGTTCACCTCGCATGATAATCATGAATACTGATACATGGGTACCCTTGCCATCACCAAATCCATTAGGATCCAACTCTAGTTTCAGTTTGTATCCATACTTGTGAGTGTAGAATGATTCACTGTACAGTTCGATGTCACGGTCTTGCTGCTTCGCAAGCTGTAGCTGTCGGCTGAAATCGTTGATTTTCCACGTGTAACTATAATGTGACTGATCGTCTTTTGACATAATCACGTCACAGAGAGATGGAGTCAGAGAAGGATCCTCCAATTCAAACTTGATGAAAACTTCTCCATCGACGACATAGTTCTCAGTTTTTAATGTTTCATGGGAAACAAATTTGCCACGTCCTATTCCAACGTTTTCATTAGTTGTTGGTCTTTGATAGCTACAATTACTTGTATCGGGAATACTGTAACCACCGTCGAAATTTTTGCTCGTCGAGTGCTCTGGTTTCTGGTCAAGCAGGGTAAACTTGTATTTCCAGGTAAATGGCCAGGTCAATATTGCATCGTATTCACCTCGCATGATAATCGTGTAAACTGATACATGGGTACCTTTGCCATCACCACCTCCATTAGGATATAACTGTAGTTTCAGTTTGTATCCATACTTGTGACTGTAGAACGGTTCACTGTACAGTATGATATCACGGTCTTGCTGCTTCGCAAGCTGTAGCTGTTTGCTGAAATCGTTGATTTTCCATGTGTAACTATAGTGTGACTGCTCGTCTTTCGTCATAATTTCGTCATGAATGAGCGACGAAGTCAGACAAGGATCCTTCAACTCAAACTTGATAAAAACTGCTCCATCGACGACATAGTTCTCAGTTTTTAATGTTTCATGAGACACAAAGTTTAGGCGTCCATATCCACGGTTTTCATCAGTTGTTGGTCTTTGAAAGCTAGAATTACTTGTATCATCGTTGCAGTAACAAGAGTCGATGTTTTTGCTCATCCAGTGGTTTGGTTTCTGGTCAAACAGGATAAACTTGTGTTTCCAATTAAATGGCCAGGTCAATATTGCATCGTATTCACCTCGCATGATAATCATGAATACTGATACATGGGTACCCTTGACAGCACCATTTCCATTAGGAACTAACTGTAGTTTCAGTTTGTATCCATACTTGTGAGTGTAGAACGGTTCACTGTACAGTTCGATGTCACGGTATTGCTGCTTTGCAAGCTGTAGCTGTTTGCTGAAATCGTTGATTTTCCACGTGTAACTATAGTGCGAATGATCTTCTTTGGTCATCAGTGCAATGCAAGACGCTTTGATTTTCAGAAGTTGTTTCTTGAGGTTAATGTTTTCATCTTGAAGGGTCATTAGTTGTTGTGTCGTAATGTCAAGGTGTTCTGTTTGGTTGTTTTTATAATGATCGCTTAAAGATCTTCGTGGTGCCTTGAAATAATCGACAATCACAAATAAACAAAAAAAAAACAAACAAACAAAACAAAAAACAAATGAAAGCGATGAATCAGATGTTAGTTTATTTACCTTAAAATTGCATCCAATACTGACGTAACTGCAGGGTACAATGGTCAGCGGACATTTCTCATCATGAGTCTATACAATAGAGAACATCGCAATATTTATCAGTAGGGGGAGTCGAGAACGCTGGCGGGGGGGGGGGGGGGCAGAACGTAATTTACTTCGTTTGCAAGTTTGGCAGTAATTGACTTATTTTCGTTTTTTTGGCTACATTTTTTATACCAACATATTGCTAGCATGCGAGTATTTTGTTTGGAATCGGATATAATTAAAAAGAAGCTAGATCCACTTGATGTGACACATATAACTATCAAGTTCATGATCAATAGTTTTTCTTGGATATTTTTTTTTCTTATTTTTCTTCATTTCTGGTATTATTTCTTTTTAGCATATAATTATCTATGAAATACCTGTATTTTTCCATTTCGTAAAATTGATGTTTTCACCTTAGTGAAAATAACACATTCGAGTTTCTCTATATAATGCTACGCTCACTCGTGAGACATCTTTTCAACACTCGAAGATTAAACCCATGTGAATATCCTCTATATATTATACTCTTTCACATACCTGGACATATCTCAGTTCTCCCTGCCAATCACAATGGTTTGGACACTTTATCTTGAGTGAAAGAATTTGCCGCTCTGTCGCTACATCTTCGAATACCTTACACAAAAAAGTTCATTAGTATACATTCAACAATAAAAAAAACGTTTGACTGTAGTACTGACTTACTTGCTGTGAACTCAAGGACTCATTGTCCAGAGGACATTTGGGCTTTCTGAAAAACAAAATCATCAGATGCAAGGTTTTTTTCTAAAGGCAAAAGCTAGAAAGGTGATATCTCTCCCAGTTGGAGCTTCGGTTTTTTTTTTCAAATTTCCTCCACGGAAGAAAAAGGTGAAGCTAAGAAGACTGACAAATTGACTGACAAAATGACTGACAAATTTTAGAGTTAAGTCATTTAGTCCTTGAACGCGATCTGACTATTAAATTGCGTGGAGTCAAGCAGAAACGTACAAACAAAGACAATGCAATTAGAGAGGGTATCAATTTCACGGGTATCTGTATTTGTCTGTCTATGTCTATATAGCGTGAATTAGAGATTCTTAAGTAATAGCCGACCTGTGAGTTTTGCCTCAGCAGTCGCACACAAAGGATTCAAGACGATGCGCCGTGCATAAAGCTCAGTCATTCGTGAAAAGACAATATAGTTTTTCACAAGCTGACTGAGCTTTATGCACGGCGCCTCGTCTTGATTCTTTTGTGTTTGACTACTGAAGCGAAATTCGCAAATCGGCTATTCAGTTCTATGTATATAGGATTAAGCTTTTCAGGGTTTTAAGAGTTTGCAAGATGTGAGTTGTCACACTATAAGAGCTGTTTCGCATCTGGGTGATTGATTTGCAACCAGGCCTGCATATGAATTCGCCAAGKTTGTAAGCCAGTGAGCCCGTGCATTTTTGTTAAGCGGTCATATTTGAAAGTGTAAATAAAGAAAAGGGAAAACCCGCAGCTCGCCTTTCACTCAGATAAACAGTACAAGTTGTTTTGAATTTATTTACATAACTAAAACAAAATGATTATAGAATTAAACCTTTAAGAATTGAATGCTCATTACATTTTCCACTTTAAATACACACGTGTTTTTCAGAAGTGAATTTAGTCGAACTTTTATTCACGATGGAATTTTGTTTTGAGTCGTTTCGACATAAAAAGTCGCTATCAACATTACACGAAAACCCCAGTCACCGTTCTAGCTCTCATTGTAAGGTAAAAGCTAGTAAATGTGTAACTGACCTGTTGCATAACGTCAACCCGTTGTATTGTCGAGTACGCTTGCGGCTTATTGCCGAAAATGCGACAAAGGATGAACTACGAAAGTKGTTTGTACCAAAATAACAAACGCTTTTAACTCTATTGGAATACGTGGAGCTAAGCTGCTCTAGCTCTTCCAGTGATGTTGTAGATACCTCAAAGCTTAGAGGAAACAAGAGCTAAGAAAAAGGATTTGCAATGGCTCCTCCTAAGATATTTTGGACTTGAACGTCGCTTCAACGATCTTCTGTGAAGTCTTTGTGAAGTCGGCCATTGCTTCGCATGCAATGGAGAACCCGCGTAGAACACGGACCAATTTTTGTTTTTTATCAGGGAGAGGGGAGTCTCGTGGTATTAAAAATAAAATTATTTGTTATTTAACTTTTAAGATAAAATTCGATTTCTATAACGATAAATATTTGATTGACATTTATTAGAAGCTATTTTATAAAGATTTTCAATTTCTCTTTGCGTTAAGCTTTGATTTTTTGGATAGAATAAAATGGCGGGCAGCCTACTCCACTCGGTCGAGTTTTGCTGAGCAAATTCCTCCCGTCGGGGGGCTATGTTTACAACAAAAGCTTGTCCGCTTTGCGCTGATTGGCTATAGTCGCATTTTCTCAAATCACCCAGATAAACTATTAAATACATTTTATCAAAATACAATGAAATTATTGCTGAGCTTTCTATACTATTGCATTTTTATTAATGTGAAGCTTATATGCTGATATGGTCCATCTTTCCGCAAGTGCTAGCTTCGCTGATTTGATTTTTTGTTTTGCTTTCTTTCCTTTATTTATTTATTTTTTGTTTCATTTTTTGTTTTGTTTTAATTTCTTGTAATAAAATTGCTTTTTATTATTGGCTTAACAATTAAGCGAAAAATAAAAGATAAAAATAGGGCGCGGAACATTCTGGAAGCTGGAAGACGCTAAAATGACTGCCGTTTTTCAGATCTCACATTCTAAGTTTCGTTCACCTAGTGTTTTTGTGACCAGCATCCGTAAACTTTTGTTGCATTACCATAATTTTATCAAAACTTGTTCCAGTCACCAAACAAGGAATGAAAACATTGTGATAAATGAATATTAATATTTACTCTAATGATGAGAAAGTCAAGTTTTGATTTGTAATAATATCGAGTGAAATTAAATTAAAATTCGAAGATACATCAAATGAACTACTGAATTCAAGTTGTGCGCAATCAGACGGATTGCTAACGATAAACAAATAATGTAAGCAAGCTAAAAGCTAAAATCATTTATACGGAGCATAAATAATTTTAGTATACATGTCGTCTTATAAGATCAAAATCCATGAGTATAACATTCATTTTATGCCAACTTTCAATAATAAATATGAGAATTGCATTTCTTCAAAAAATTAAGGACTAATTTGTTCAAAATACGGCATGAAATCTTACTTACTGCACATTAATTTACTTTCAAACCTTGAAGAAAGTTTGGCAAACTTTTCTAATTAAGTTTATAGCTGACTGGTAATTCAATCTCAATATCAATATCGATTAAATTTATCAATAAAGTCATTTAGGTTTTTGTTTTTGCTACAGATGTCAATGTTCCACTGGTTTTAAAAGAGTTGATATTTCAAATCTATTTCCTACTGACCTCTGTAAAGCTGCGTCCAAACAATCCTTACAAAACCGATGTCCACATCTTGTCTGTACGGGTTTTCGCATTGCAAGACGGCAAATACTACAAATGTAGTCTTCAGGTACTTGTACGACAAACTGATAGTCGTATCCAGACGGTAATTCAGTGTTACTAGCCATGGTAAAAACACTTCCTGCTTCGAGTATCCTGTCTAAAGTGAAACTAGCGAGATATGGCATACATGGGAGTCGCTATGACGTCATTTAGTTGACAGCTCATTGAGTTTTGCATGTCGTGGATTGGATCAAAAATACATGCATTATGTAAATTAAACTGTACAACATGGAAAATATTTTAGATTATTTGATACTAACTTCATTTCACGACGTCCTTCATCTATTAAT